GGCGGGTGGGCGGGCGTGCGGTGGCGGGCCGGCGGGCGGGTGGTCCCGCTGGAGCCCTGGGGGCTCCTGCTGCCTACAGAGTCCGTCTCCTACTGGGGCTGGAGAATGCCCTTTGGTCGCTGCCTAATTCTTCCTTTTCCAGTCCCTGGTACGCCTAAAATTAAAGAAAAATGAGCAGTTTGGTGGTGTAGGTATAACATCGGGAGGTTTAGAGAGGGCTCATGACAAGGTGTTGGGTAAATAGTGTGCAGCAGGCCGCCGCCTCGTCTGCGTCAAGCCTTGCGGCAGCTGAGTACAGAACTTTGCATGGTGGATTGCCTGCGACCAGGTACCCCTTTGCACAGGTGTCAGCCGCTTGACGGCGTGCAAGGCAGTGATGGATCAAGCAAAAAAACACCTTAGTGTTTGGAGGCAAAATGGGGCTTCATCCAGGTAGGTTTGGCTCCAAGAAGGCAAAGCTTTCAAGAACAATTTGACTTGAGTTGCAGGATGAAGTCAGCAATGTACTTTTTGGAGAAGAAGAGATGTCTGTTTAAGAAAGCAGCTCCAGAAAGGAAGGAGAGGGAAGAGGACTAATGTAATTATTGCTTCCTTCCACTAAGCCGTGGTTCACCCTTGAATTCTCTCACACCATCCCAATACCTCTCAGCTGCTGGCGAGAACTTGGGAAAACATAGCCCCAGCAACGGAGCCAGACTGCCCTATACTACACGTCTGGGAAGGGGAGCAATGCTGCTGACATCCTGTTGATGTAAAGAATTGCAATGACAGATAGGTCCACGAGAGTGAGATAATGCATTGGGCTTTCTGGTAGTTTGCCTTTTCACGAAGGACACGTGTCCAGGAGCGAACCCTAGAAATGCCCTATGTATTTTCTGTTCTGCAGCAGGTTGTGTGTGCACGAATAAGGAGCTGGTGCTTCTGCCTTCCCCCTTTTTTTACTTTAAAGTGGTCTCTTAGTTTTTTTGTCCCAATTTCCATCTTCATCTGAGCTGTCTTTCCCTTTCAAGCTGTTTCTTTGACTGCTAACATCCAGTGGAAGAAAGAAGTAGGTGTCTGGCTTCACTCAGTGCAGTCTGTATCATGTGGCGGTGCTGCACATAGAGAGCTAGTAATTCCACAGTGCATGGTGTACATGGCTAACCTGTTGTTTTTTCTTGTAATTTGCTGCCAAATTCGTCTGGGTGATGGATGGCCTGTGCCATTGGGGAACTCTGAGGGTGTGGGGGGGAAACTGTCTGCTTTTCTTTGTGTGTGATGTCACTGTGCAAGAATCAAAAACAAAGGGAGGAAAAGGTTGGGGTAAATAAGTTTCTTGAAGACAGCAAGTGTGTTTTGGAGCCAGCTATGTGGGGGGATGGGTATCCTTCTGACTGTACTGAGCTGATTAGCAGCATTGCAGAAGTTTGCAAGATGCTAGGAGCTGCAGGTATGTCCGCAGGAATAACTCAGGGTCCAGACAGGTTAACAGACGCAGCAAAAAGTTTGCCCCAAAGCCCACTGTATTGCGGCAGCTGTGTACAAATCGGTGAACTGTACACTGAAAGGGGAAAAAAAAGAGGCTGCATTGAGGGTAGTCGTGTTTAGTCTCTCTTCTTTCTAGCAGCTGGCATAGTGTTATATTTTGGATTCAGTCTGAGAATAACTTTGATAACACACTGATGTTTTCAGTTGTTGCTAAGTAGCGTTTATACCAAGTCAAGGATTTTTCAGCTTCTTATGCCCAGCCAGCAAGAAGGCAGGAGGGGACACAGCCAGGACAGCTGGGCCCAACTAGCCAAAGGGATATTCTGTACCATGGGACGTCGTGCCTAGTATATAAAATTGGGGAGTTGGTCTGGGGGGCAGATCACTGCTTGGGAGCTAACTGGGCATCGGTAAGCAAGTGGTGAGCAATAGCATTGTGCATCACTTGTTTTGTACATTCCAAATCTTTTGTTATTGTTACTACTATCATTATTATTTTCTTCCTTTCTGTCTTAATAAACTGTTCTTATCTCAACCCATGAGTTTTACTTCTTTTCCCAATTCCTTCCCCCATCCCACTGGGTGGGGGGGAAGTGAGTGAGCGGCTGCATGGTGCTTAGTTGCTGGCTGGGGTTAAACCATGACAGTTGCTTAAAGTTTTTATGCTGTTACTAGTTTAATAATGTTAAACAAAGCAAGTTGATGCTTTGCAAAAAAAGCTCAACTTTGGCAGAAACTGAGGGCCATAATTTGTTGAGTTGAGGCTTCACTGGATGACACAACATCTTTATAGGTGTCTTAGGCAGCCCAAGAGTATTTAAGTTTTGTTTATTTGCTGTCCTTGTGATACTGTTGTTTTTTTTTTCTCTAGATAAGCAACGTCTTGTTTTTTGTTTTACCACCTATATGTATGTGCTTGTTCCGTCAATACGCAACCTGCTTCAACAGTGGAATATATTTAATATGGACTCTGCTAGTTGTGGTTGGTAAGTTGGTTAGTCTGTGTTTGCCTGCTCATGCATGAACTGAGAGAGGAAATCAGTTTTTTGTGCTTGCACTTGATTGTTTTGCAAAACAAAGCAATCCTGACGTCTAAGGAGGAGTTTGCTTGTAGTTGCTTGAAGCTGAAGCAGCTGTAGTTTCTGAAAGGAAGATACCTCTTGCAATCTGAGCTTGGTGGGAGCTTTGGCCTTAGTTCTGTTCCTTAGTTCTGTTCCCTTCCTGTCCTTCCTTTGCATAACTTCTTTGTTTATATCTGGGCTTACTCTACAGCAGCACTGACCCTCCTTCCTCTGCTCTTGCTTAAATGAGAGCTGAAAGTGCCCAGCACAACTGAAGAGGATAGCAGGTTTTGCATTGTAGTGAGAAGGCCCAAAGGCTTAGCTATTTTGTAGATATGAGATTCTTAAGCTTTTTTATTCCTGGAGGCACTGGGAACTTTTAAAGGGATAATCAGAGCCCTGTGGGGCAGGGTGACACTTTCTACTTGTAAACCTGTATCACGGACTAGTCATCAGATGCTGCTTTTTATCTTTGCCTTACCCATTCTTGTGCTATTGAGAAAATTCAAAAGCAGCATTTGGCTTTTATTTCTTAATTGGTTTTGCATTTAACTTTACCACCTGATATTTTTTCACATGCATCTACTTTTCTAGTAGGAGCTGGCATCTTTAGGTGCTGCTTTTGTAATGTGTTTGCTTTGTAATTAATGAGGTGCTGATGATTTGGATTGCCTTCTTAGGAAAGTTGGTGTTTGTTTTCCAGTTTTCTTTTTTCCTAACCTTTTCTAGACCAAATGGTATCCACCATTTGCTATGAAGTTCTGAACATGAGCGATGTGTTCTGGACTGTGCAGTACTGCAGCTATTCATATTGCCTTCTGATTGACTCTTCCAGGAATTGGATCTGTTTACTTTCATGCCACCCTCAGTTTCCTGGGCCAGATGCTGGATGAGCTGGCTATTCTCTGGGTTCTGATGTGTGCTCTGGCCATGTGGTTCCCTAGGAGATACCTGCCCAGAGTTTTTCGGAATGACAGGTAATCATATAGTCATATACATACACTTTCCTGTTTCTTGAAACTTCTTATGCTAACACCTAAACCTGCACATAAAGGCACTGAGTTATGATCCAACGTTACCACTGTTGCCACTGTCTTTTCTCACTCCATTCTCTTCCTGTTGCTTGTATCTCAGCCCATTTTGTTCAGAATTTCTGAGTCTGCAGTTGCTGATGGTGGGGTTTATGCCCTGTAACTTCAGATCTTGGGTTGAGGTGACTTGCCTCTGGAAGTGCCTGTTCTTGTTGATTCTAGGGAGACATTTACATGAGTAGTTTATATAAGTTGTGGCTAAAGTAAGAGAAAACCTCTTTCCTTCTTTTGTATATCCTAAAGTGTACATACAAGTGGACCTATGGAAGTCAGCTGAATTTTCATCTGAATATTTAAGGCAGTGGTTAAGGATGGTGTTTAGGTAGTCAAAGGCTAAGTGTTTGTTCAGAAGCCTATTGTTGTTGTAATAGGATTTTTTTTCTTTTTCTTGCAGGATTAAAAAAAAAAGAGCATTGTAGCCAGTTTAAAGAATCTCGTTGTGGTTTGTCCCCCACTAAAGAAATTGTGCTATAATCTTTGTACATACTGCTCTTTTATGCAGTAAAGAAGTTGAGGTAATGGAGAGGTTTGAATTGCAGCACCAATGTTCTTCTCAGAAAATTACTAAGGTTGCTGCCTCTTGCCTTCTTAAACTGTTACTGTCTGGGGTTTTTTTGTGGGTTTTTTTCCTTGACATGTGCCTGATTAGAAGTTGGGAATGGAGTGGAGAGAAGCTTGGTGCCTCGATTGACCGTTCCTCAAAATAGCTTGCACTGAGAAAAGTGTATCTTGAATTACTGTGTACAGTCTATGCAGTCTAATGGCTTTGTCATGTTGGTGTGAATTTAGTACTTCTACAAACTGCAACCCAGTGCTATTACAGCACACTATCAGCTTAACAAGCAAACAAGTTTTACTGGGGTGTTTTGGTCAATGGCATGACTTTTAGACATTTAGTTCAAGGGAAGAAAAGTTCAGAGTCTGAAGAATTTCTGTGACTGCATGTAAATTATTCCTCAGAAGCCTAAGGGGATCGTTCTATATCATCTATCACTACCTTCTAATAGGGTGCTGGATGGGTTCATAGTATGGGCCAAGAGGTTAAACTGTCCTTTTTAAAAGGAATAGTAACACTTTCTGGGTGAAATCCTGTTTCTATTGAATTTAGTGTTAAAACTGTAAATAATAAATCTCCCCAGTTATAACTGATTCATAAAAATACTGAGATGAGGTGAAGGATGTCCCCTATCATAAATTGCTCAGAACATGTCTTCCTGAGAATATGTCAAGGCAGTTACTTCTTAAGGTCATGATTGCTTTCTTAAGTGTACAGAGAGACATACTGGGCAACAAACCCTAACCCAGAACAGATTTGGTTTATATTTTTGGGTTTTTTGCTTTGCCTAGATAATCCTCTAACTTTATATCTATCCTGTGCTCACTGCTGTGGTCTTCACTTTCTTTATCCTCATCAGAGTCTGGGTTTTCAGTGCTGCAAATGTTATTATCTACCATGACCACTTTGTGGAGTCTTTAGTCATTAAGGCATTCACATCAGGTCAAAACTTCCTACTTCAGTAACTTGTTGCCTTCCAGCAGAAAGAGAAACGTTAAAGCAAAAGGCAGATGGAATGAGCTAGGTGATGGTGATGACACTTGTGGCCAGGGAATGGTGCTGCACAAGGATACTGAGACCCTACTTCAGACATAGAATTAAGGACAGAAGAGCCATCCTTGGACAGCAATTAACCTTATAAAGCTGTGGGCCAGTAGTTGAAGGACAACATGACAATTTTCTGTCTGCCATAGTGCTGCCACAGACTGGAAAAATGGGTTGTTTGAAGCCCAAACTTGAAATTTAAACAATAGTTAACATATATTTAATTTAAAAGTTGTCAGGCTGCCTATATAGGCCCAAATTGTAATTTTATTTATGCTAAGAATATACCAAACTGTGATCTTCAAAAAGCATGGGAATCCCTCACCTACTGTTGAATTTGGTTAAAATAAATGTTCTTACTTACCTTGTAGTTTTCAGTATCTTTAAGGCTTAAAAGAGAGAAAGGAAAATAAACCAGACTGTAACATAGCTCTAGAATTTGGGGCATTGACAGTAACAAAGTATCCTAAAAATCCATGTTAAAAGCATGAAGAATGATGATACAACACTGCTTTGAGGAAGTAGAGTGCTGTCTGCAGAGATGGACTTGTTCCTGACTTCCTGTGGGAGGAGGAAGATCCAAGTATGGCCTTTGGATTTTGAAACCAGTGATGAGTGTGTGTGTGCATGTGGATGTATACATGCGCATGGCTGCTTCAGGAGACCACAGTCCAGCAAAGATTTGTGTACAGGATTAACTCTGCATGCACATGCAAATCTGGGCAAGATCCACATCCATTTTATGTATATTGTCATTGCACCTCTTGAATAATCACCTAGAGAAACCTAAATTTTGTTACAATATTAAAAGTAAGATTTCTGGTTTTAGTAATTTAAAGTTTGCAATTAAAAGCAGTTTTTCTTCCCCCCAAAACCCTATTCAGGAGCCGATTTAAAGCTGCCGTAGGTGTCCTGTCTGGAGTTACTACCTGCCTCGCCTTCATTAAGCCTGCCATCAACAACATCTCGCTAATGACTCTGGGTGTTCCCTGCACAGCTTTGCTCATTGCTGAGTTGAAGAGGTGAGTACATTTCTCCTGAATGCAGCATTGCCTTCTGAGATCCTTAGGCCACCGTGTGACGATACACTAGATCTGGCTTCGGTGCTTGTGGTAGCAGAAATGCTTCTCTCACATGCAAGTGCAGATCTGGTATAAACTTGCTCTGCCAGTTCAGACGTTTTTGGCAAGCGTTTTTTTTCTTCTCCTAGGCCGTTATACTAGGTCAGATATTATCTGTCCCCTTGTGATGTATCTCTTGCTGCAGTGTTATCTAACTCAAATTTATTTGTTTATTGTGGGATCAGGGCAAGGGTTTCACTCTACTGACAGCATTTCTGCTGTATAGTCTGCATAAGGGTGAGGTGATCGCATGATCACAGTCTGGGTACTAGAGGGAATGTAGGGCAAGGCCCAAGCATGTGTGGAAGATGTTCCAGCTCTCAAAGTTGTACTGTGAGTCTTATACCACTTTGTCTTCTGACATGGATAATATGATGGAGTCAGACTGACAAAGATAAGGTTAATCACTAGGTTGTAGAGGATACCTATCAGGGTCTTAGAAACTATAAAAGCAGAATGTAAATAGAAGAACCTGAGACTGATCTTGACGTTTTAAAGAGTCCTACCATGACAGCGATACCAGCAGCTGTCCGGAGACTTTGTTTTTTGCATCTCTTCATGCACTGCAAAAAGGACCAGATGAATACCAGCATACGAACTTGTCCTTTCTCCCTCTTCTCCAGTGTCTGAGAAGGATTTTACAGCTTATGTTGGCTCTCACATATTGCATATGTAAATGTCCATGAAAAGAAACTAGAATAGGACCAGATGTCTGTGTTCTGACTGCTCCTGTTAGAACAGAGATTCTCCTGTTGCTATGTTACCCTATTCTGCCACTGCTTCTCCATACAGTGGAAGCCTCTGCTAGCATGTTTTGTAAAGGTGTTCATGAGTCTTTCCTCATTAGACATGCTAAGCAGCATTTGTTTCTGTGGTCAAAGAAACTCAAGAAATATCACATTAGTTAGTTGTAGATGAGAAGGTCAGTAGTTGAAGAATGTTGGTGGAGGTGTCTCATTTTGATGAAAGCACCAAGGAGCTACTGACAGGGCAAATGGAGAACTGGTTGTGGCACTGAATAATTTATATGAACTCTCTACATATCAGTTTTCCAGGCTTGAGCTCCTGAGAAGCTTAAAAGGATGAACAGATAGTGTCTCCTAACTTTGAATATTATTGCATCAAATCTGGGAATTGGTATGCCTATAGATACTTGCTTTTTAAAACTCCTTCTGAAAGGTCGTATCTTACTAGGATGTGTGGAGTTTGCCTTTTGTTTTCTGAGAATTACTGACAGAGATAAACCTTCTTCTGAATTGATGATTAAAAAGAGACCTAAAGTGACATACGGCCCTCTTAATTGTGCATTGGGATGATGTAATACCTATGATATTTTTTGATGGCTTCCTAAGTGTAAAAGGCAAACAATTAAAGACTTCATTTTAAGCTATGCTGATCCCTAGGGGATTTAAATTAGGTATATTCTTGTAAACCCGGAGGAGAGGAGTCATCTCATCCCTTTTTGCAGGAGAAAAAAATAATCTAAGCATTATTTAAAATGTCTGTGATTCTCTCATTCTTTACTGCCACAGTAGGGGGCTACACGTCCAAGTCCTGGCAGTCTGCAGCAGAAATTTTTCTGTGAAACAGGTATTTGGGGATGGAAGGAAGGAGAAAAGCCTCCTAAGTAGTTTCTTCTGTTCTGTGCTGAGGCTTGTGATGTGTTAGGCCAAACTCCCTGTTGTTATTCCTCTTCTAGGCTGGTGTCAATCTTGTACAGAATTCTGGTGAATCAGAACCACTCTGTTCTCAAAAGAATTTTCTGCCTCGTTTGTGCTTGATGACGAGATATTATTGTCTGCATTTAAGTGTTCTTAATTTAAGAATTTAATTTTAAATTATTTAAGAAATTTAGTTTTAAATTAATCTTAATTTAAGTGTTCAATTTATTATGTTCTTAAATGTCCTACTGCTGGTAGGGCAGAGGATGCCAGAAAGTATTGTGGGTGGGAGGTGATCAAAAGAGCAAAAGGTAGTAAAGTGCATACTTTTTGGAAGACAAAGAAATTGTAAAACTTTATTCTAATTTCTGCAAATGTGTTTCATTAAAAAAAGAAAAGAAAAAAGAAAAAAGAAGAAGCTCTACCAGGGGATGGTATCGGGGAGAAAGTGGAGGTGGATGCTTTGGTTTGCTGGTCTAAGCCAAATAACCATTGAGATTATAACATAATCAAATTAGTATGATTTAGTGAGTCATCATCAGGCATGTAACTATCTCCATGTGCAGATAGATGCTAGAATATTGTTGCTCAGCTGACATCTGAGCCCTAAGCAGTGAAGGTTTACCCTAGCTTCAGGTCTGTCCATTCATATTTGATTCTCTTAACTAGAAATCTGGCTGTGGGGGAGTCCTGCTTCATTGCCGCAGGTTGCTCACAGTTCCCTTATTCCCGTGACTAAAAGGTTAAGCTAGTTCAAAGTTTAAAGTATTCCTTAGAGTATGAAGGGAGATACCTGTGCCTAAATGAATCAGGCAGGTAACTGAAATCAGCAGCTTGCACTGGTTTGAGGAAAAGCTAGTACGTTTTGTTGGGGGATGCTGTGACGTTGGAAGATAAAGCTGCTGAAGTGTGTACCAGCCCAGTCCCTTGGATAGCAAATGGCTGGGGAACACAAGTGTTTGCAGAAATTTTGGTATTTAAATAACTGCTGTTTGTGTTAAACTGAGAACACCGTGCATTGTATAGGCAAAAGGTGCAAGTGGAAATGCAGGCTTGGTGGGGTCCAATTTCTTTCAGACTAGATTAGGGTAGGAGCATGTCACAGATCTGTGCACAGCAGCATGAATGGCTTTTGTAGAGATCCTCAGCTGACAGGTCTGTTTCAGCGGTAGTTTGAATGATCAGTGTCCGTGTCTGTTGAGAAATAAAAGTGCGTTGGGTCCATGTCTCTTGCCAGTGTCCAGGTGGTATCTGCATTACATCTCCTCATTGTGGTAAAAGCAGTGGTGGGTAGGAAGCTTTGCAGTCCCCTGTCTCCTCTGCAAGCCAATCCTCAGCCCATCCAAAGCACAGTCACAGCAGGAACTGAAGACTCTATGATGGGTGATCACAGAAAACCTCTGTGTGTTGCACAGATCAGCAGGCTGTGCTCTCCTCACTGTGCTTGACTCTTTCTGCCTTGGAGTAGTCTTTTGCGGTACACCCTGCATCATATAGTCTTAAATTTATAAAAATAAATTGTAGTACGTGATGGTGGTACCTAGCAAACCTGTCATTACAATCTGTACCATTTCTGTGCCTGATCTTGCATTGACACAGTTTCTTCAAGTAAGCTTTCAGTTTTCCTTTGCAGCCTTGAAGTCTTTGAACATGCAGGTTGTTTGTCCTCTCCTCTTGGTATTCAAACTAGTCAGATATTGACACGCATGGTTACTGACTGAAGGAGCTGGATGTTTGAGGCCAAGCCTCTTATCTTATAAATGGGCTGCAGTTGCATGTGTTTGTTTATGCCCTCTGGACAAGTCCAGGAAAGCCCTGTGTTCTCAACACACACACCCTTTCTTCTGTCAGAATGCACAAGTACCCACTGGAGCAGTCTAGTATTATCTGTCAAATGTATGAAATTGATTCATGCGTGTGTCCACTTAGGTACATGGTTTAGCATCCAGCTCTTACAAACAGTTGTGTGTCTCACTGAAGACTGTAAATCTGCCTGGGCATTAATGGGAGAGAATTAAGCCTGGTATGCTTAATACAGTGGTGGGTTTTGACCAATGACTGTTTTCCTTCTTCTTTTATGAAGGGGTCCATGCTGTCTAGCCATTTGGTAGAAGCATGAGTCCTCGAAAATGAGGAGGATTTATCAGTAAAGTTTTACGGATAAAACTGTGCCAAATCTTGGATGTTTTTCTTACTGGGGTGTCTCATGAAAGAGTGTAAGGAAGAATTTGTGTAGCTGCACTCTAGAACTTGATAGGCAGCTCAAAAATCTCCTTAGCTTTTCTTTTCTTCGTGTTCCTTGTAGCCTTTTTAAACGTCAAAGACACTATTTCAGAGAAACTAAGCCTTTTTTACAGTTTGCAGCACAGTCAACCCTGAAGCCATCTTGGGCAAGCCCTGTCTCCTCTGACTGTGTCTTGGTAGTTTGCCAAATGGATTGGAAAATTCCAGCCTAAGAAAAAAGCCATTTTGGTTTATATGCTAGGTGGAGTATTAATTTTTGTAGCAGTCATGTAGGTGTTTTTGTTATGAAGACAACTGTTGTGATACCTTTCTTGTGAAGGAGATTACAGTTTAGCTGGTAGTTGAAGCACTTTTTTGAATAATAAAGATAGATGTGATGATACTGAATGCAGCATTATTTATAGATGGCTTAAAAAAGAAATGCCAGATCCTAAAACCTACTTGTGCTAAGGACACTGGAGAAAATCCTCTGTCAACAAGATTAGGCAGTTGGTAGCTTTTCTGTCATTAATCCAGTAGCTATAAAGGTGCCTTCTGCTCAGCCTTAGGAGTTTCTTAATCCCAAATGCCTGTTAAAATATCAACTGAAATAGCATTTCAAGAGTGAAAAAAATACCCTACAGGGAAAACTGTACAAATTCTTTAGCTTGCAATACACCAGAGCCAGGTGTACTGCTGCTCCTGCAACATGTTCATAAAAGTGTTCCTAGACAGAGCACTCTTGTGTATGTTTTTAATTTTTCTGAATGCTTAGCTAGGCTCCCTTAGCAAAGCTCCGGTACCAGTGGCAGTTCTGCTTTTCCAGCACAGAAAGGCAGGAGTCATTCTCTGTCCCTGTCCTCCTCCAACTGAGTAGTTGGAGATGATTATCTCATATGTGCGGGAGGGTGTAGTGACAAATCTTAGCTTGGGGACAGAGCTGGCATTACTACTTCCCTGACAGTGAATGCAGGGTAGCCTGTGGCTTGTAGGCTGTGTGTGAGCATGGAGACAATTAGCAGTAAATGTTGGAAAAATTAGAACCCTGTAAATGTATCAGATGAGAACAACAGGTTTCAGGCTGATGAGTATTTTGTGTGGAAGACAGAAAGACCAAAGAGCTTTTTAGTCTGTGCTGCACTGTGTTAGTCAGTTGTCGAGGACAATGGTGTATAAAGGGACCATAAACCATACTGCGGTGCACACCGTAAATATGTGTTTGCCTAGTCTAGCTCCCTCATCCAGGGATACATATTTTAATTGCTTCTGAGTGTCACAAGGTGAAATGTCTCTTTAAAGGACCTGTTTGCCAGGCATTGCTCACCTTTCATGTGCAGTGAATGAGCCCAAGAATTGTGTGGAAGAAGACTGGTGATTCAGTGTCAAGTCTACAGGGGTGACTGGATTGGAGCAGAGAGAAAGGTTGGCTGGTGACCTGCTGGAGAGGGAGTCTTGGTTTTCTTTCTAGCAGCTGGTATAGTGTTATGTTTTGCGTTCAGTATGAGAATAATGTTGATAACACACTGATGTTTTCCATTGTTGCTAAGTAGCATTTATACTCTGTCAAGGATTTTTCAGCTTCTCACGCCCAGCCAGCAAGAGGGCAGGAGGGGACACAGCCAGGACAGCTGAACCAAACTGGCCAAAGGGGTATTCCATACCATGGGACATCATGCCCAGTATATAAACCTGGGGGAGTTGGCCTGGGGGGCAGATCACTGCTTGGGAACTAACTGGGCATCGGTAGGTGAATGGTGAGCAGTTGTACTGTGCATCACTTGTTTTGTACATTCCAATTATTTATTATTATAACTATTGTCACTTTATTATTGTTATTATAATCATTATTATTTTCTTCCTTTCTGTCCTATTAAACTTTTCTTATCTCAACCCATGCGTTTTATCTTTTTTTTGCTGATTCCATCCCCCATCCCACTGGGTGGAGGGGGAAGTGAGTGAGCGGCTGCATGGTGCTTAGTTGCTGGCTGGGATTAAACCATGACAGCCCTTTTGGTGCCTATCATGGGGCATGAAGGGTCGAGATAACAACAGATCTGACCAGAGCGTGTTAAATTTTATTTGTTACAAGCATTCATTATATTACTTTAGTAGTCGCTGGTCATGATGTTGATTTATTGGCTCTTAGAGTTGTGGTGCTCGTTCTTAGAGTTGTGTTATGTATCACTTTACTTGCTGTATATAGTTCCTGTGCTGCAGCTTATCATCTCCAGGAGGTGGATTAAGGTTTTTGCTTTGATGTGCTGTGTGACACTGGCTTATGGTATGACAAAATTATCGGTCATGAGACTAATCGGGTATTTGTACTCCGTATTGTCTTCACCTCTATACTTTGGGAGCCGTCTGTGGGAAACTATTAATAATTACACTCTTCACCTTTTCTCCTCGGAGAGCCCAGTCTATGGGCGAGACACCTTTCTTCACCTTCCCCTTCTCCTCCAGGCAATTACAATAGGATTTGAGAATTCTGGAGATTTTGAATATCCTTGGGATGTTGAAACCAGCATGGACCTACTGCTAGGAACTAGAATGTTCCTGAATGTGGTTCAGGTCTTGTTAGGGTTAAACAACTATTTAGAATATCACCCAGAGATCTGCCCCGAGGCTGGATAATAATGAGTGTCAGGGTGCATGGGATAATACGGGCAAGTACCAAGGACAGTGGGCACCTCCAGCATTTTGGAACTTTACCCCTGAATGAGTGCAGAATCTGGAAAAAAAATAGTAAAATATTTGAAAGAAGTATGCTGTCACCCTGGCAATTGCAGAGACATGCAAATCACTGCAATGTGCTGGGACCTGACCCATGCCTATGAAGCCCTGTTAAACACTATTTGGTACCCTCCAGGGGAAGAGAAGGTCTCTGGATCTGACAACAAAATGACAGGCACTTTAGCCGCTCCATCCACTGTGACAGGCACTGCAGTTACTCCATCTCCTGTGACAGGAGTTAAAAAACACAACAAAGTTTAAGACACAGAAGATGAGTGTGGATTAGAGGAGCCCCCCTTGAAGACCTTGGGACAAGGAAGAGATTGTGGGGTGCTTGGTATTGACTTGTTTTCCTTCTAGGATGTAGAAGGAGAAGACGGGGGCCTGTAACCCTGATGAAGACTGAGTACTCCTTGTTATACTGGCTAGACATTTGGTTTATTGGTTTACTCTTGTGCTGTAGCTCAAACAAGTCACTTTAAACAAATTACTCTGCCCTCTGATTAGTAGGTTTGGAAATGCTTTGGAAGGTCATACCAGTGACCTGAGAAGAGCTGTTCATTGAAGCAAGAATTGTCCAAGAGCACTGAATGGTTCTCAGATCCCTGGGAAATTCACCAAGAATTTACGACAACAAGAACAAAAAAAGGCAGGGGGAAGATCCCAAATCATAACTTCGTTCTTGCAGAAGGCAGGAGAGCTCAGCCATGCCTTCCTGTGGCCACATAGGGCTGGTCAGGTCCTGGTCTAGGTTTACTTTGTAGGTATTAGTAAGAGCAGGGCTCCATCTACTGGCAGTAAGAGGCCTAATCCCAAAATAGAAAGTGTAGGTAGTCAGCAAATGGTTGACTTTAATAGCGGGTTTGGACCTAAGTTTATATTGATGTCTCCTTTTTCCCGATTTTACTCTTTTGAGCAAAGCTGCACAGTTGTTAGGATAGTGCCAAGATATAGAAAAAAGCAAAGCATCATATAGGGAAATAAAATTGTGAGGTTTTGAGTAGACCTGCAACACAGCTAATGCTATGCAAGTATCCTGGCATCCGCTGTTGTATTCAGTGATAGTCAACTGCAGACTACACTGCATGTGACCACAGCAAATGTTTTATGCTGTCCTTCTCTCTGGTGTACCTCTGTATGAACAAGTTGGGTTTCTTGTGGAGGGAGACAACTGCAGCTTAGTAAATATGAGGAATTCTGTCTGAGATGTCGATGCCTGCACCATCTACTAAAACATGTTTCTTTGGGCCCTCTGGGTAGAGGCTCCTACCTTAGAAGTTCTGTCGAACTGTTACATTGTACAATACTAACTTATAAGGGGAAAAAATTTAACCAATTAAAAAAACTGTCATCCAGTTTCTTTCTTACTAATCTTTATATAGTGACAAATATGAACAAATCTGAGCACTTGCTGTGTGGCTGGTTGTTACTAGACAGCATGTGTAACTAATCAGTAGCTGTCCTAGATAGCCCTCCCTAGATATGGGAATGCTTTGATGTTTGCCCGCCACTTGCACATTGGTATTTAAAACAATACCCAAAACACAGCTACTGATTAAAAGGCTTGTTTTGTCACTTCACCACTGGCTTGCATCAGAGCCATATTTACTGTAAGTAAAGTCTCTGTTAAGGACATTTATGGTGGAGCCATTTTAAAGATATGTGCCTGGCACTATGAATCCTACCCTAAAATACGTACAGCCAAAAAGCATCAAGCTGCCATTACAAAGCAAACTTTGTTTTGTTTTATAACAACTTCCTTGTGTTTTTCTCCTCAGATGTGAAAACCTGCGTGTGTACAAACTGGGTCTCTTTTCAGGTCTTTGGTGGATGCTAGCACTTTTCTGCTGGATCAGTGACAAAGTGTTTTGTGAGATCTGGTCCTCATTTAACTTCCCCTATTTGCACTGTGTATGGTAAGTGTTGTGTATAAACTCCACAATTTGATTCAAATGTGATATGTCCTCACCACATTACCTTCCCGTTCTGCCTGGTGGCTATTTCTGATTAGTGCTTGATAGAACTACTGGTAAGATTATAAGCCCAGAGCAAGTTTTATGCTCTCCAAGGTGGCAGATTTAGGAGTCTCTTTGACCTGGTCAGATTTTTCAGACACTAAGTTCATTAACTCTAACTGAATTCCTTGCCCTACTGGTTACTAAAAATCCCCCAGCACTGCTTAACTGAAGCAGTGTCTGTTGAAGCTTAAACTTCCACTGTTAACAACTGAGGGTGAAGTGGGGGAGCAGTGAAGGGCTTTGATGCCTTTTTTCTTCTAACACCCAGCAAATTGTGCTCTCTTATTCAAGGTGCTATATCTCAGCATTTCAGAGAGGCCAAAAAGCTGCAGCCAGTTTAGACCAAAGATAAGCTTTGTAGTTTTCCTTATTCTCTGTATTGTCTGCCTACATGCAGAGGGCAGACAGCAACCCTATGGGGGACTCGGGCGAAGAAGGTGAAGGACAAACTGATTTTAATACACAGTGATGTATTTGATTGCTTTACTGAAGTCATGTTACTGATTTTTTTCTTTTTTTTGGGGGGGGGGGGGTTTGTCTATTATCAGGCACATTTTGATTTGCCTTGCGGCGTACCTGGGCTGTGTCTGCTTTGCTTACTTCGATGCTGCCTCTGAGATCCCTGAGCAGGGCCCTGTCATAAAGTTCTGGCCCAGTGAAAGATGGGCATTCATTGGGGTTCCCTACGTCACCCTCCTCTGCGCACACAAGAAATCACCTGTGAAGATCACATGAAGTTGGCCATGGAATGGGGATGGAGTTTCATCTTACATTCCAGCACAGACAGTATTTAAATAATGATAAATGAATAGGGTTGTATTTTATCTTCTTCCTAAGATATGCAGCACTTCAGGTGTCATAGAAAGAGGAGGTGAGTGTGTTCCTTCCTCTCTCTGGAGAGGAGAGAGGAAGCAGGAAGGTGGAGGCCCTTGAACGCTAAAGTAACCACTAGCTTCTTTGGTTGGCTCTGTTTTGCACTGTTTTCAATGTAGCATTTATCTTGCTAAAAGCTGTTTCCAAATACCAGGGTCAAGGAATGACGTTTCTGCTGTAGGTCACCTCTGGTGCTTGATTCACTTCTTTTCTAACTTCTGGCTTAAGGCCTTCTTTGCGAAAGAAGCCAGTCCAAGGTGCCTACATGCCATCTTGTGTCCTTCTCAGCTCTGATTTTGATGTGACTGCACATGGCCACAGGAGTGTGCTCGAAGCACGTGCTCCTCCCAGCCCGGCGTGTAACACAGGGAGCCTGGATGTGCATCACATCCGATCACAGAGCATGTGGTTGCTTCCCCAAGTCCAACAGGAGACCAGTGCAAAGTGTTTGCAGCTGGGTAACTGGATCAGTGTAGTTAGGGAGTGTAAATGCAGGAATAGCTGACAGAACATTCAGTCCCTAAAACTAAATAGGAGTTCAAGGGTTTTGAATTTTTCTGTATTTCCACTGACCTGTGGACATCTGTATGCTGCATATTTCCCTCTTACAGAAATGTCACGGAAATCCTTCTCTACCTCTACAGACATGTTTGGTCTTGAATTTGGCATTGAAGCTCACACAGAAGTGTGAACATTAACTTCAGTGAGAGCTCAGGTCAGCATGGATTGACAGTGTGATTAAACTACAAAAGCTCGCAGGTGCCTAGCTGTATGTCTAATTTGAGAGTTAACTTCTCACAAATGCATTGCAAAGTAACATGAACATTAGTCCAGTGCTCTTCTAGTTATACTTAAGAAAAAAGTAGATAACAGCTTAAAAACCAAGCTGAAGACTTAGATTTCAGTGAGCAATGAAATGTGACCTTACATTCATACAAAAGACCAGTAGATTCAAGTTTTCTGTTTATTTTCACCCTGTTTTGTAAAGAAAAGGGGTGTCTAGATCAATTTAGTTTTAAGGTTATACTTTGGGGTTGAGTTTCATGAATGGCTATGGTCCTTGCAAGCAATTTATGCTAGGTCTGTTTAAAAAACGATGCAAAGTGCAGGCATGTTTTTCAAATATTAGCAATTGTAGCTGCTAATAGCTGCAGTGTTGGAAAAAATAGGATCTGCTTACATTCTACCTAATATCAGAACTGTAAGTGGATTAAGGCTTTGGATGTACACTTTTGTTAATAAGTGGTATTTCCTTTTTGAATATTAGACCAAGAAATACCATTTCCTCTGTGCTTTGCTAAGAAGTCTCATGTTGTACTTGTTTTTTGTCAATCTGAAAATGTAGTCTATACAGTATCATCTTTAGGAACGTGGCTTTTAACAAGAACTTCAGGGTGAATTAACTTTCAAGCATTGTAAAACCTTTCAGATAACTTTTGTATTCAAATTTATGCCTAGAAAACAAGAGCTAAGGTGTATGCTGTTACACTTAAAGCAAAGTTATTGGTGGGAGATATGACTGTCTTTTTGAGAGCTTCAAAGCGATTGACTGACAGATCATAAAAGCAGCAAAATCTGGTGGAACTATGCAGATTTGTACCACTTGCTAGTAGATCTGTCTGAGAGAAATGTGTTTTTTGGACACACAGTCATATAATTCTTGTAAGAAACTTGTTTGTAAAAATTCATACAGTAATCTTTGTCACTCTTTGAAACACAGCTGTGTTTTCCTTCCTCTCTCCCTAATTATGAAATACTCAGTTTTAAACACATCTCAGGTATTAAAAGTCATATGATTAGATCCTTGTACAGATAGGCTTGCTGGCTGGAACTCAGCTAAGGTTGCTGATGCCTGACATGGCCCTACTTTGAGTAAGATTTTTCAATATTGTTTTCTAAATTATTATGTTATGGTAAATAAATTATTTTCAGTATTGCTTGGGAAATTAGTAACTGCAGACATAATGTACTATTCAAAATAACTGGAGCCTTCCTACTTAATATTTTGCTTGAAAGCAACCTCTGAATCAAACGGCTCTAATCAGCCTGCTGTCAACTGCTGTCTTCTGCTCTGCAGAGTCTGACTGCTCACAAAGAAGTAATTTTATAATTTAAAAAATGGCAGTAGTGCATTCAGCTATTGCAGAGGTGACTGAATGCAGGTACAGGCCAAGAATCATCTCCTGTATTTTTATTAACTAACCTCTAACCTTTGTACTCTTCATAGGAGATTCTGTGAACAAAAGTCACTCACTATCTGATATTCAAAGCTATGCTGTAGAGCTGGTTGGGGTATTCCACTGCAACAGCAGCCCACCACTTTTAGATGTAGCTACTGCACTTTACATTAAATTAATATTGACTTACATGTTCTGACGAAAGCTACATTTATTTCAAAAAAGAAAAAACATGCAGTTTTTACCCAATTCACAGCTTTACAACTTGCACTTTGGACTAAGGCTTCAGTTCACAATTAACATTAGTACCCAAAGAAGTATGTGAGTGGCGTACAGAGCGGTTTGTGCACTGCCCTGATCATGCAGATGAACAGACATGCACACAAGTAGCTGTATTATGTTGGAGTATAAAGTGATATATATGCACCCTTTAAAGCCCCAGAATGCTTTCTTCTCTTGCTGGCAGGAAGCAAGTGGGTTCCTAGCCCTTGGGTTCAGTTAGTATTTTAGCTTAATTAGTGGGATGCAGTAGTGTGTTGAGCATAATGTAGATTCTGTATATTGGCGTGTGGTATCCATCATTCGTTGAGTGTTAAACTTTAGGTTATTTAAGAAAGGACATTTAGCTCTCAGTGATGGCAAACACTTGCCCAATACACAGTCACTAAAAACTCAATAAATAGTATGTAAGAATGGTGTTGGGGTTTTTTTTCCATCTCCATTGAAGTCTGTATACTGAATGTTTGTGGAAGGCCTGTAGTACTTCACAACATTAAATTGCATTCAGAATAAATATTGTTTGCCTTTTCATACATCATGTTTGTGGAGAAGAATGCAGCTGCCAGTATAATGCCTTGAAGTATAGTAAGGATAACTTCTCCCTCACCCAGGTAACAGCAGTTCTGACTCTTAGAGGAGGAGGGAGGCTGCATTAGGTAGAAGACCATTAATTAATGAGATAGAGATTACTTTGCTGAGCAAACTGATTTTTTGCAAGTAAATACTTGGAAAACTGCAAGCTCATGAATCAACAGGGACAAGTAGCAAGAAATGGCTAAAAATGAGTGGCCTGTATTTCCACAGATCCAGAAAACTGGATCAGAGTGAGTATATCTAGGAGAACAAAATGTGAATCTTCATTATTTATTACCTAAGACCATGCTCCCAACTTAGGGAGGGGGATAATGGCTGTATAGTAGTCTTGCACCTGCCCTTCCCCTCCTACTTTCCTTTTACCACAGTTCCTCTCGCTCCATATAAAAGACCTTCGTTGAGACATTTGCAGATACCCATAAGCCAGTGTTACCGGGCTTGAAATAACTTACGTGGAAGCATAGCTGTAGTTCAAGAATGTTACTGACTCGGAGTTAATGGCTGTAGTTGGCAAGATGACAAAAACAGCTGGTGGATTGGCTCATATGTTTTCCTGTCACTTGGCCTGCTCTATCTGGAGATTATTGACAGGATTTCCCATGGAAGCAAGGGGACCATCATCATGACGAATTCAGAGCTCCTGGCTTGTTTTGTCCAAATCTGACAGAGGCAAGAGCCTTAGAGATAATTTCCTACAAGCTGTGCAAGACAGATGGTCAGGTAGAGAAGCCAGGCCTCTGAGACAAGCTGTATCAAGAACCATGTTAAAATAACAGAGAACTTACCCAGGAAGGATACCAAAGCAGTGCTGAAGTTTTGGATGGGTTCTTATGATTGCAGCTTATACCAGCTGCAGCGTCAGTAGCAAGTTACACATGGAAGAAGGTTCACATCCTTCTGTTCCAGAGACGGAGGAATTACTTCACTGTAACACACACAAACCTGCCTTTTCCTCCAATCTTATACGAGGTAGAAACTTCCACAGGAGGGGCAGTTAGAAATCTCATATCATCGTACACCTGGCTGTTAGTTAAACACAGTGCAGGCTGAGAAAGTCTGAAGTTTGATGGAGGTGACTTCTGTGGCCCCAAACTCAGGAACCATAAAAAACTGTTTGTAAACTCACAGCATATAATGAAAAGGTGAGTAGGAGTTTGTCAAGAGCAAGTTGTGTCTACCTAATTTAGTTTTCTACAGTAGAGTATTTGCTGTCCCTGTGGTTATGGAATAAACAGTATACTGTTAGATTTTGACAGTGATAAGATTTATAGTAGTGTCTGACAGGACATTATTATAAAAGTGCTAGAAAACCTGTGTTTAATAAAAGTTCTGTGGATTAGTGTGAAATTGTTTGGATAGCTGCTTCTGAGCTGTTGTAGACAGCCCATTATAAAACCATAGGAAGGTGTTGAGTGGAGTTCAACAGGGAGTCTCTCCTGGGTCACCTTCTGTTAAATTGCTCACTGGTAGCCACCTGGAAGGTATTGATAAACTGAAGTCTGGGAAGGTTCACAAATACCTTGAAAAACAAGGTCTAAAATCCAAAGGTAGCTTGCTGAATTGTAGATGGAGTAACAGCAAGGTGTTACACATTTATAGGCATCATTGACAACACTGAATGCAGAATAACTAGGAAAGGAGCAGTTCTTTGTACAAGAAACTGAACGGGTAGTGTGGATCAGGAGCCAAATATACTACAATAAGGTATCACCACATTAAAATGAAAAAGACAACATCATACTAAAAAAATATATCTGTAAGACAGGAAGAAATCCTTTCCTTCAGAGAAGGATAGCAATGAGGATTACCAGCATCTGGAAAAAAAATGACCTGTGAGGAGAAATAGGCTTAGTCAGCCATAAAAAGCAGTGTGAGGCAGGCATTAAGAGGATGTCAGTGTGTAGAAGGAAGTGTGTGAAGGTTCAGACAGGTCATTAGGGGAAGTGAGGCGCAGGAGGCACAGGAATAGACTGGAGGCTCAGAGCATTATCTCTTCATGGAGATAGATTTTTAAGGAGCAGTTGGAGAAGCTATAGGCATTTATATAGGCCATTGTCATAGCTGATCCTGTCTTGGGACAGGAACATGGAGTAGCTGGTGGCAGTCTGGTGACTTAGACACTGAATTTCTTTCCTGTCATTTCTATGCTTATGGACATGGGCTGGACACAAAATGGATTGTGGACAGAGCTGGAAATGAGAACTTGGCCTGATTGCCCTGGCAGGAAAAACCAGAGCGCATCTGTGCTCTCTGAAGAGCTGGGCTTTGTAAATTGTCAGTGTCCCAGCTTATTTCCCATAAGCAGGATTGTAGCTAGACCTTTGTGTTCCTGGACTTTCCTAACTTAAGAGTCCACAAATATCACAATGGAAATCAGTTTTCAGTAATGCCCACAATGCTGACCGTTGGGAGAGGAGAAAAGTGGAACCCAGAGAAAATTTAGTGCTGTGTATACTGGGGTGCACACTATTTAATCACCTTCCCAACCCATATTCTAACTAGCTCACTCTCTCCTTGCTGCTTTTATTACCCTCAGAATGCAGAAAGTTGTCTAGAGAGACACTGCCTGCTCTGTGTCCAGCTTTCTCCAACATAAGTACCTTTCTTTTAAAATGAATGTCTTCCTCGTCTTCTGGAAAGATTACCATTTAATTCCTGATGCAATAATTAGTTCAAACAAAGCAAAGGCCTTCATAGAGGCAGCCCAAAGCTTGGCTTTCTCAAAGCACAGGCAGAAAAAAACTTGCATCTTCTAGCCTATGCTCACCCTCAAGCACACTGTGTCTTTTAAGTTTTCAGCAGCTGATTTGTCAGGTGTAGGGCTGACATAGGATGTACTTCTCTAAAGAAGCCCAAGAGAGATATGACTGGCATAGTGTCAGACCCTGTAGTATCTGGATGTTGTCTGAACCTTAGCTTTGGGAAGAAGTTGGTCCATGGTCACCATTTTTATTAACTGTCAAGACTTGCTCATACTGAGGGGCTTTCCCCTACTGAGGAGACCTGACAGTCCTTCGTTTATTATTCTAATCATTTCAGAAGTCTCAGACGTTCCCAGGCCCCTGGATCACAATTTAATTTGTGAGAATTTGCCCCAGGAGACTCAGGAGTAAGAGAAATCATGCTATGTGGCATAGCCTGTCATTGACCACAATGTAGTTGACTGCCAATTTAGAAACCAGATTGCATGTGTTATGTCATACATTAATTGTTTCAGTCTGTGACTTCCCAGAGTTACAGGATTTATCTTCTGAAGCACTTAGTGTCAGCTTTTAAAGTGTCAAAAATGCAGACTCCTTTTTAAAGCATCTACGTTACTTCCCTGCGTTGTTTCTGGAATTCAAAAAGAAGCTCTGAATTTGCAATTTCTCTTCATCGCTGTTAACCATTCACATTTCTGCTTCATATGCTTGACCAGAAAAAAAAAGAGAACCAGTGAGCAGAAAGTCCACACAGCGTTCTTTGAGTTTGTTGGTTTTTACACCTACTTCTGCCAGAGTCTGGAATGGTCTACAGAAATAGTCCCAGTTATCTTTGAAAAGTTACCAAAGGAGTTAATCTACTTGTTCTCCATAGTTTCTTATAAAACATTGAGAAGTACTGTGGTTCTGTCTCTATTCCTATTATCCTAAATAACTTTGTTTATGTCAGGGTTCCTACCTCAATGCCAAAGTAAGTATAACACCTTTATTTTGTGGCATGGATTCTGTTAAGGCAGTTAGTCCTGTAAAATTTATTTTTAATATATCTTGTAGACTATATGAAACATTCATACAATTACAAAGTGATCAGCTTAATAAATACTAAAGAAGAAGGAAAATATCTGCAACTCAAAAACAAGAAAAAAATTCTAAGCAAGTTGTTTTGATGCTCATGTTCTGTATAACGTTGGTATCACCAGTGAACATGGAGAGTGCAAGGAATCTGAAGAGTCTGGAATTTTTTTATTTTACTTTCATGGGACTGGATAAAATGTAAAGCATATAAGAAAGAACAGTGCAATACAGTCAGGGCATGGAAAATAGAAGTGTTAAAAGACACATAATCAGTAACTGTATAAGTACAAAATGAAAGCAAAACCAAACGGATTAAAAAAGTAGAGGTTTAATGTAAAAAGATAAAGGTTATTCTAAAACACTAGATACACTCAGTATTTACATTATTGGCTGTAGGATAGATCTCACTATAGTTGAAACGTATCATTTGTATCCACGTTGTGTTGGGTGCTCTTTCTCCACAAAAAGGAAGCTACAAGCCATTGCAGATGCTAGTTGACAGTGACAAGTGAGTCATGGCCTGGAAGAAACTGTTTTCTGAGAGAAAAAAAAAACAAACGTGCATATTTAAACTACGAACATGAGGGCAAAATCTGCACATGACTGCATATTGTGTTTGTACAGAAGTGACGCCCGTTATTGACATTAATGGCTACTTGGAGAAATTACTTAAAAGCTGGGTTGCAAAACAAGTGCCTTGCTAGGCATCTGTGGGGAAAAAAAAGGGCTGTGGAGGAGGTGACTATCAGTTCAGGGAAGATGTTCCACTGACAGGAGGAAACTGCTAAATTGCCCATGAGAGAAGTAGGAAACAGGCTGTGAATGATAGCCTTACTGGTAGGCAAGAGGGAAAAAGTCATAAGCAGACAGCTGCTTAGGGAGAGACTGTGAAGGGAAAAACCTCAAAGGAAAAGTGAGAATTGTAAAAGAACTGCAGAGAAGGGAGGAAGACGTAGTTTGTTGTAGAAACCCAACCAACACTGCAATGTGATTCTCCACATGAACATTTTGGAGTGATGCACACACTCCTTATACTTCTGTCTACAGGGATGTTGTCTGCTTCTCAGCCGATAGTGCACAGAGCAATGATTGCAGTGTCCCAGACAAACAGATAACTCTGTTTCAGTAATGTACCATGACAGCTGCACACAGTATCTGCAGAGGTGTGATATGGTCTATCTTGCTGACCACAGTACCTGGACTACCATTGTTAATTGCTAATCTCCTTTGCTAAAAGGAGAGAAGTTGATTATGACAGCAAAAGCAATGTATACAGTCTGCTTTCAAGAAGTCATAGTAAAATAGGGCTAGAAAGGTTCTCAGAAAGTCATCTAGACCACTAGCAGCTCAAAAGCAGGCTCAGCCCTTCAAAAATATCCCAGGAAGATTTTTGTCTAGCCTGTTCTTCAGAAATTCCAGTGCTCCAATACCCACATTCTCCCTTGGTTCCAGTTACACGAGCAGAAGGGACTGGTGGACAAACAGGCTGGAAGTGTTTTACTATCATCAGCACACTTTTATGGTACAAGGAAGAAAGATGCAGTGGGGGGAAGGCCTCCCTGCTGGTCCTGCATTCATGTCTGGGGGGGCCAGAGCTTTAACAAAGCTGAAGCACCCCGAGTAATGTGCCAGCTAATTTGCTACTTTTGCAAACTGTAGGGAAAGGGATGAGTCAGGCAAAGGGTGGGAAGGTTCAAACTCAGCCTTACCTTCTGAACTAAGCCATCAACCCCCCCCCCCCCCCCCCCCCCCCCAAATCCAACCCCAAAAAACCAAAGCAAAACAAAACACATGGCAGAAGGGACACACAAAATAGTTAGTGATGCCTATTAACCTATTCCTGTAAAAACGGATAGATGCAATCACAACATGACTTTTACTAATCCACTTCTGTAATCTGAATAAACCCTGGTCCAGAAAAAGGGAGGGCATAATGGCAACTATCTTTGAAGTCCCACTATGGTATTTGGAATGAATCAAGAAGTAGTGATGTAAAGAGTAGATTAATTCAAAACTTCAGATTGAAGCAATCTGTTTCCATAAACTGCCCTTGACAGTTTTATAAAATGGGATGTTTTGTCTTGGTTCCTGTAAATTCTTGGCAGTTATTAGGGCCACTGGAAGAATGAAATATTAAACCTATGAGGAGGATCATAACCTGCCCTGACCTGCTCTTTGCCCCTCAGCATATGCTCTGGATTTAATACTTAGGATTTTTTTCAGAAATCTTTAGCACTGTAACTTGCGATGCTAGTACACTATGTCCCAAGCTCTCTTTATCTCCAAATGTGCTGAACTGATTTTTGTGGCTGTGTTAAAGTACTGCCCCACCTTTGAAAGTCAGTGTAAATCCTGCTTCTGGTGGCATGTTATCAGGCAGAGGGCTCCAATGCCTTTAAAAGCATACCACCAATGGAACTGCTCTGGCATATTTATGTATGTGTTTGTGTGAATCCCCCCCAAAATGCCACTGTAACCATATGCCATACCTGCAGTGTCTTGCTGATAATGCTACCCTCAAATAAGGCTCTGGCTCACTGCTCACAAGTGATTAGGGAGATCCCCATCAAATTCAGTGATACACTCTCCTGTGCATTAGAAATCTGAAGACTGGGTATGAAGGCAAGACAGGCAGGCTCTAGGGAAGTTATTGTGAGTCTTTCGACAAGACAGTGAAAAAGTTTGTGTCAAAATGCTACACTATTTTAAACTATGAAAGTGAGACTTCATTGTGATGTTAGCTCACACCCACATGCAGTGTCTCCATTCCTTGCTTTGAGATAACAGCTATGCCTTTGAGCCAAAAGTCAACAGTCCATGTTATTTTTATGGAACCAGATGCCACAATCCATACACAGAACTGAGGCAGATCATCAAGAAGTTTGAGTAACCTGTCCTTCATCCATTCAGGAGAATGAAGTCCTCTGTGGCTCAGGTCTCCTGGTCTCTGAACTGCAGCATGATGTCAATTCC